AATATATGAATTGCTATTGCTTCTGCAGTTTGAAGAAGTTTAATTCGTACTCTTTTGGCAAGATTCCCACGTATTGTGTAGATAACTGAGAAGTTGTTTTGTGGGTTTTCTTGGTATCCGGATTCGATCAAGTGTTCTAGGCTAGAGCTGTGGCGGGGGGATCTTCTTTCTCCTTTATAAAACCATGAAGGTAAGTGTTCGCTGATTCGTTTGGATAGCAAACGCTGGGTACGGCCGACATACCTAGCTCCACATGAGCAGGTGAATTGGTAGATGCACATTGATGAGGCCCCCAGTGGAAGCTTGTCCTTCACGTTCGTGCGAATCATTGGTTTCTTAGAGAAAGTTAGTCTGAGTTCAGATGCGAAGAAGGTTTTCTTCAGTGAGCGGCACAGGCGGTTTCTCAGTATTTCTGCTGAGGAATCTCCGTTGAATTGTAGATTCAAATAGAGAAGTTTCTTGGGAGCAGTAAGCATAGACAGTTTTTGTGTTTTGTGCTTCATGGCTTTTGTGATGAAACGTCCCGGGTAACCATTTTCAAGGAGGATTCTTTTCAGGGTCTTCAGCTCCTCTTCCATAGTTTCCGGACTGCAAAGGTTGTGGATTCTGTGAGTCAGTGAGCGGATTAGATTTCGTTTTGTATATAGAGGCACCCAACTGTGAAAGCTGATGAGTTGTTCATTCCATGTCGGTTTTCTGTGAATGGATCTTTTGAGTGTCCCATCTTGTTCGTGTCTTGTTAGTTGCACATCCAGAAAAGATATTGTTGCGTTGGACTCCTTCTCTAGTGTGAACTGGATTGCTGGATGGCAACTGTTGAAGAAGTCCAATATGTTCTCCAAATTTTCCTCATTATTGGCGATAATAAAGGTATCGTCCAGGTATCTCTTGTAGAACCTGAAGTTATCTATTGTCTTCTTTAGGTGTGTATTTTCTAGTTTTGACATGAAAATATCTGCAAGCAGCGGGCCGAGTGGTGAGCCCATAGCTATACCATCTTTTTGTCTATATATTTCATTATTGAAAGTGAATTGGACGTTCAGAGTACATCTTAATAGGAGTTCTTTCAAATAGTCCGTGGGTATACCAATGTTCATCTCCTTTGAATCAATATATTCACATATATAGCATATTGTTTCGGTTAGTGGGACGTTTGTAAACAGTGATACCACATCCAGTGAGAACATGGTTTGATTGGAAACGCTGACGTTTTCAATGGAATTTACAAAATCGAAGGAGTCTCGAATTGAGTGGCGGGAGATTTCCTTTCTGACTGGTTCTAGTATGCCATTGTGCGGTACTGTGATAAGGTGAATTAGTCATATCGAGAATGGGTCGAAGAGGTACGTTTTTCTTGTGCACCTTTGGTAGTCCATATAGCTGGGGTATATTTGAGCCCGACGGTTTCAATGATTCGAAGGTTTCAAGATCGATGAATGATTCAGTCTTTAGTTTTCGGAGAAGGTTCGTTAGTTTTTGTTCAGTTTGTTCCGTCATGTTCTTTTCGTTTGCTGGTTTTATGAATTTAGATTCGTCGGATATGATGGTCAGCATTTTGCTTATGTAGTCTTCACGATTCATGACTACGATTCCCCCACCTTTATCCGGGCGTAACAGAATAATCTCTTTGTTGTTTATTAATTTCTTGAGCTCTTTATAGTGTTTTTTGGTCAGTATTGACTTTCCATTTGGTTTGGTATTCACAAATTTATGGCAGCTGTCGAGGACTACCGACCTGAACTGCTGCAGGTTCTCTTTGGAAGTTAGTGATAGATCATATGTTTGGTTTATCAAGTTTTCGAACTGAACTTGGGTTTGAAGTTTTTGGATTTTCGATGGTTTTGTGCAGAACTTTGGACCGAGGGACAGTGCTTCTAGTTGAAGTTTTGACAGCTCAATGTTTGAGAGGTTAAATACGTATTTTTCTGGATCGCTTGGGAATGGACGTTCAGGGTCGTTCGTCGGCTTCAGGCTTTTAATAAGGTTTGACTTGACATTCTCACATTGTTTCTGTGCAACTTCCTCGACATATTCTTCGAACGATTGGCGTAGTTCTTGTTCTAAGTCGTGCACTGCGTGAGCTCGTAAGTCAACATTTCGTTCTAGTTCAGGGACACGTGATTGGATGGAGTCAATGTTGTTTAGTGTGTGTTGCCTGAGCGTTCTGGTATTCGGATGGATGTGGTTTCGTCTGAGGGACTTCCAGTACATCTTTGGATATTCGTGCCGATCTAAACATTCTCTCAAGAACTGAATCTCTGCCTTCGCTACTGCAAGCTTGACGGAGTAACGCAGGAAACGGTCCAGCTCCTTCACCGTCACTGGGTCCTTGCAACGTTTCAGTAATTTGAAAATTCCCATTCAGCCATAGAAAAGAAAAGGCGTTCAGCAAAGAGTTACTCTTTTCGGCGATATCATTCTCAAGCTGTACAAACTGTATAAGCTGTACAAAATCGATATGGTCAATTTATTAACTGAGAGGTTGGTAGCTCTTTACACATATTATATAATTTGTTTGTGTATTTGCATGTATAAACAATGCAATATTCGAAAGACCGTTATTTTATGCATATTGCTAACTTACTAAGGCTAATGAATCCCACTTCATATTTGTCAATAGTCGACTACGTAATCAATCTCTTTTTACAGACTTATTTTATGATTCATGATTTCGCCTATTGTTCATTGAAATACACCGCAAAATGTGAGCATAATTTCCTTAACTTTCATTTGGCAATAGTCTCATGTACTGAATGTATCGTCGTAACACATACTTCTAGACAATACTGAGATATGTTTTTATTTAGGTAACATTGTTCAAATGCTATCATATTTCCTAGAGATATTTTTCATGTCTGTCCAAGATTTGAAAATCACTTAGAAACCCTGAAGAGCATGTCAGAACTTATTTTCCACCGCATGATCGTTAACAGAAGTCTTCAATCTTCCTGAAGACAGAAAATACAACCGGTATCGGAATCACTTTTGTAATGAAAGCTTAAATTCATGTTTGGTTTTGAAGAGGATCTTGTAAGCCATATGCTTCGTGTTTCGAAACGAAGTGAAACAAGATATACACAGATTAGTTGACCTATCGAAGCTGTGTAAATTTATAGGATTTGGTATTTATTATTCCAAATGTATCTACCAAGTATGCAGTGTAGTCAGTAAGCTTAATGAGATGATGGCGTTTTACACTCAGCCATTGGGTTACCTACTTCGGGTGAACCATCACTCTGCTAAATAAACTGTCTTCGTGATGTATTCATCTGTGTATAAACCCATTTCTTGTGCAAGTATACTGTTGTGTTTAATAGCCATGTTCCAGTGTACCAATTTTGTTGTATCCACATTTTGAATGAGTGCTTATCATCCTTTGTTTTGCGTTTTAATTCTCATAAAACAAGTGTAATATTAACCACGAAAACTATAATGGAAACACAACCTTATTGTTGGCTGTTAAATCTGGATATCACGATGCGGCACAAAAGCTAATTGATAATGGAGCTTATATATATATATATATATATATATCATTTATTTTTTTTATTTTATTTATTTTGATTACAGCTTGATGCCACACTGTATTTTTAGTACAAGTATAGCATTTTCAGCATGTGATATCGGTAGCCCAAATTTTGCAGGCCGACCATAGATATCGGGTGTGCGTCGGCAGGGGATCGAACCCCGGACCATGTGCATGATCGGCGAGAGTCCTAACCACTGTGCCACCGTCGCACATAAAACTTCTGTTGAAAGTAAGTTAGTTTAATCTCTTCTCGGATCAGTCGACCTTACTACCAATGATATTCTTGCTTCTTGTGAACTGGATCATGCAACAGACTGTGGGGAGCGAGAAGACGGGCGTACACTGGACCGAAACAAAGAAGGCTCTAGAAGATCTAGACTTTGCAGACAATTTATGTCTAGTGTTACACAAACTAGAATATCTACAGACGAAAGCCAACATTTTGGCGGAAAAAGCAGCAAAGATAGGACTTCAGGTAGAACCAAAGAAGATACAGGTGACGGAGTCGCCTAACCAACAACGACAGGCACCAGTCACAGATAGAGGGAGAAATCTAAAGGAAGTCGACCGTCTCACTTACCTAGGCAACATCGTTTCAACTACAAGTGCCAAAGATGAGGATGTCAAGCCAGAATCGAAAAAGCACGACAGAAGGAACATTATCTTAATTCTCAGCACTAATGTCAGGTTAGTCATTGTTTCTATATGTCTCAGAGACTTGTCACTTCACAGAAAGACTTTTCAACAGAGTTCTGCAGACTTTAACCAACACTTGCTTTCTCTAACTCAATACTGAAGATCAGACGCCTGGTTGGATATGCAAGATGGAAGACTAGAGGCGAACCAAAGAAGAACTCGGGACCCAATAAATTTGCAGAAATAAATGGAGGTGGATTGACATACACTGAGGGGGCCACTGAATGACGTCACACACCAGGTCCTCGTGCGGGACCTGAATGGGGGATAACGAGTTGGGCGTATAAGAGTGACATACAGGAGATGAAAGTTTGAGAGTTTTGAAACTTATGGTTAAAGTGATAGTGGAAACAACTTTCAATTTTATCAGGAAGTACTATTTTTGCTCACATCTCGGATATTGTAGAAAAAACTGTCATTAATCTTGATCAGGTAAGCACTGTTTTGCATCATCTTATAAGCACTGTCACCAGTCTCTTTTATTTTAACACACTCATTTGAAAGCATCTATTAAAAGCGAAAGGAAATTAATAGCGATCTTGTAAACTTACTTGATAAAATTTAGATCCTACTAAATTCGAGGCAAGATGAATTATTGTTGAAGGCTGATTACTTATACGACGATTCATCAATACATCATGCTGTGCGATCTGGAAGCTACAGAATTACAAAGGTCAGTTCCACAATAGCTTTTAACCTGTGTTTTTAGTACACATTATTACTGACAAAAGTATTCTCACTCTTAAATTCTTAGACAAATCTTATCTTGTTTTAGCTGTTGGTAGATGCTGGTGCGGATGGTACCGAGGTGAATTCTTTAGAAGGGGCTCCGTTACACGAAGCTTCCATATATGGCCATTTGAAGTGAGTACTCTCAGTGGCTTAGTTTTTTGTGTTTAACTCTTTTAGCTGATATTTGTGATTTGGTTAGTTAACCATTAAGACCTAGCTTCCTGAAGACTACGATTGATCAAAATATGATGCTGTGTTTAATGATACGGTCTCCGATAGAAAAATCAGTGCTTACGTTTCGATAAACTATCTAATGCATGGTGCATTCATCAATGATATATTTTCGAATATCAAATTCTTTATATTAAGTTTAAATTCGTAGAGGCCTTAATACTGGATATCAAGCTCTTTCAGACTACTGCTGAAGGGTATCTTCTGTTGCTACTCTGCTGGAATTCTTGTCGTCACTCCCGATACTTGTCCAGCAGGTCACATATGGTGTTATCCATGTCTTCTTCCATAGGTAGATATGGTGAGGTTTTGACGTTAACATAATTTTTAAACATCTGGTTAATAGTACGGTAATTCTATTTAATTTAAAATTTGTTTGTGGATTAAAGAGCCACATTTAGTCCAGAAATTATATAGACTATTTCAGCTTTGGTGCATTCTGAATTTATGTAAGTATTTCGTATTCATATGTGTGTGTTATACTGTAGTACATCTTGATCAGTAATTAGCACTGTTATTTGTAGAAAGAACAGCACAAACTGTAGAAGCACAAGTATAATTTTCAGTCAGATTATTCAATATACCAATGGAAGTTTATAGCCAAAAATCCAATGATGAGAATCATATGTCTAACGTGCAGGGGACTGCCTAGAGCAAGTTCATTAACATAAAAAATATGCGAATAAAGATCGAAGTCAATGAGAGTGCAATAAAACGATATATTATCAAAATGCAGTAATGAGCTTTATTAATTAATAGGTCACTTGGATACATTGTTAAAGTCGACTGCTACAAATTATTTATAAAATCTTCATGCATTTATTCCCCTTGATGAATTTAAATAAAGCAAGAAAAACAGTGGTTTGTGCAGAATAATATGGTACCATCATTTATTTCGTCGGCTTCTCATCAGCTGCTTACAGCCTAAATAAATTGTGAGGTTTACGTACAGAAAAGTTTTAACATACTTGCAAATTTTACATGTCAGTTGACAGAAAGTTCCACAATTAGTGAAAAGTGCTCAGAAAATTGTGCTTATATAGTTTTTACACAGGCAATTCAAGTTTAAACAAAATAAATGTATTTCAGGTGGATGATTTTGATGTGGTTGTGTTCTCTGAGCTGGATAGTTAATTTGCATACAATGGTAAAGGAGTTACGTAATGAAGACGAGAGGTGAGTAAGATGATGAGTAACTAATAAATTTGGTAACGATGTACTGAGTTCAAACCCCTCCAAATGCCAAACAGTCAATTTCACCTTTAGACCTAAACAAACTGGTTGGCTCTCACGAGGTATGCAACATAGACGGCACTGAAATAGAAACCAAATCGGAAATTAAATACCTAGGCGTCATTCTATCTGCTGATCTCTCCTGGTCGTCTCATATCTTAGCGATTTCTAAGAAAATATTCCGTCTTACCTTCTACATCAAGAAGTTAAAACATTCTGGTATAACCCAACCCTTACTCCTACAATTCGTTAATTCTCGCATTCTGCCTATTATTCTCTATTGTTCCCCTTTAGTTTTTCCCGGGCTACTGAAGAAAGACTATAACATATTACGCAGGATGTTAAAGGTTGTCAGCAGGGTAAGCAACGTACCACTTAACCAGCTTGTTAATATTCTGGTCGACAGGCACATGGACTCATGTGAAAAATGGGCCAAATCCACTTTATCTAACTCACACTACCCTCTTCACTCACAACTCTCCCCTTGCATCTCATCAGGCAAAACCAGAAGCCTATATAGAAAACCATATGCTCGCACCAGCAAGTACAAAAACTCAACCATACCCTACTTAGCTCGTGTTCTGTGTGATAAAGAAAGCATTAGGCGTGACACCTATAATTCATTAAATAGTCAGTAGTAAAACTGGATCTCGTCTTTCCAACCCACATCATCAATAGGTACAACATTTTCTTTCTTTCTTTTCCTATTCTCCCTCTCTCTTTTTTTCCGTTATGTGCTGCTTTATTTCTTTCTCTCGCTTACGCCAGTAAATATGACAGCACCTATTTTTCTAACACCTTCAAACACTGTTCAGCTTTGGCTTTGCTACCGACATCCCAATATGTTGTTGTCATAATGAACTGAGATTTCCTTATTCTATGTAGAATTCTATTTATTGATAATGTACTAACTGGATGCAATACTGTAGTAAAAATGCTGAGAATTCCATTCTGTATCACATGTACTGTTTTGGAATAAAGCAAATTATTATTATTAAAAAATCACGTCATAGAAACAAGAGACAAGCAATATTACAGATTATAAAAAAGAGGGGTGAGGTTAAAGACAAAGATTACGTAATCAGAGTAGAGAATAAAGACATCCAGTTACCATGGCAAGGAAAGACTAATAACAATGATGCACACAGCAATATTGAGTTTACTATGGAACATTAAAGTGACGGAAAGTTTCACTTCCTCAACATTGCCATGGAACGCCTAGAAGACGGTAGTCTTCAAAAGTCAATTTATCGAAAGCCTACATGGAAAGGACAATACTTACATTTCAATAGCTTTTGTCCAAATAGCTTTAAACGCGGTCTAGTCAAGACTCTGTACTATAGAGCGAGAAGAATATGCTCTATAGAGAAATTAGAGGAAAAATTTGAGTTTCTTGAGAAGACATTGAAGAGCAATGGGTACCCTCAAAGGTTCATCAACAAGTACGGAAGATCTGAAGTCGAAAATGTAAAACAAATCACAGTGGAAAAAAGCCAATCTACTTTCAGCTTGATTATAAAGGTGAAAACATTACACCGATGATCAACAGAAGGCTGATTACATCACTAGCTATAGCCTATCCTGCAGCTAAGCTCGTTCCCATCTATCGAACAACTTGCTCTTTGGTGCAATCAAAAATCGATAGATATCCTTCCCATGTGAACTCCAACTGTATATACAAATTTACATGTATCTGCGGGAGCAGTTACATTGGAAGAACAGAAAGAAGGGCATATCTACGATTTTTTGAACATGTACCAAAAAGATTACGTCTAAAGGGAACAAATTCTTTAAACAGTGCCATCGCCAGGCATCTCCTCGACACGGGTCATGAGGTGGAAATCGAGAAATCCTTTAAAATTATCAATAGACAAAGGAGCTCCATTCTCCTCAAGTTTGCCGAAGCAATTTCTGTCAAACGCTTCAAACCAGATTTATGTGTTCAGAAGGAAGCAGTTATTAGTCTTTCCTTGCCAATGGTAACTGGATGTCTTTATTCTCTACTCTGATTACGTAATCTTTGTCTTTAACCTCACCCCTCTTTTTTATAATCTGTAATATTGCTTGTCTCTTGTTTATATGACGTGATTTGAACTCAGTACATCGTTACCAAATTTATTAGTTACTCATCATCTTACTCACCTCTCGTCTTCATTACGTAACTCCTTTACCATTGTATGCAAATTAACTATCCAGCTCAGAGAACACAACCACATCAAAATCATCCACCTGAAATACATTTATTTTGTTTAAACTTGAATTGCCTGTGTAAAAACTATATAAGCACAATTTTCTGAGCACTTTTCACTAATTGTGGAACTTTCTGTCAACTGACATGTAAAATTTGCAAGTATGTTAAAACTTTTCTGTACGTAAACCTCACAATTTATTTAGGCTGTAAGCAGCTGATGAGAAGCCGACGAAATAAATGATGGTACCATATTATTCTGCACAAACCACTGTTTTTCTTGCTTTATTTAAATTTATATAATCCACAGAAGCGTTGACTGTTGGAATCGTGTCTACTGATAGAAGCTGTTTTCCGGTTTTAGAGTTGTCTTCGGATAAGGATAATAGGTTCCTGCAATAAATCCAAAGGATACAACACGGTTTGAGTGGAGCGAGTAAACAGAAATGGCCAGAGAGAAGGCGAAGCTACCAACAGTATATTGTATTTCAAATTCCACTCTGACGTTATATGTATTTAAACATAAACCGTTTTAAACAAGAGTCATGTACAATGCTTCTAATTTCAACATCTAACCAAAAAGTGTACAATCATATGATTACGTACTCCACAAACGTTCATGTTATACCTTCAATCAGTGCCAATAAACAGTCAACCTCATTTCTTTAGACGAGAGTGCATTGAGTAACATAGTAATATGTATGGCATTTCACTATGTTTCGATGTTAAAAGCATACTTTTTAAAAATTTGGATTGTTGCATTTCCTGCACATCATTTTTATAACTTCATGAAGCCTGAAAACGACTGAGAAATTTTCGCGTTCATTTCCATTTATTTAGAAATAAAATTCAAAGCACTATCCTTCTGTTTATCTCCGAATTTGTAACTGAAGTTCAAACATACATAAGCAAACTTTGACAAACAAAACACTTATCATGAATCATTTGCAAACTAAGTGATCCTAGTTAACTTTGAATTGTTTTAGCTAGTATTCACAGTCTAATAGGTATGATAAGTTGAGAAAGGAGAATGGATACTCACAGGTTTCAGTTGCTTTTGTCTAGCTGAATGCCTATCGGGCTATTTTTGTGTTAGTGTGCCAAATTCGTTTATTGGTCTATCTCTCACATGTGTAGGTAAGTTCAATATGGGAGACATTTTAGCTGTATGGAGTCAGAACAGATATGCATAGGGTGGAAAGGCAACAGTTCAAACTGACGTTCGAAATAAACAAGCCCTAGTGCTTCTATGTGAAAATAATTGTTTGATAGTATTGAAATGTATGAATGGGTGACTGAGCTTAAACAAGTTGCTAGGCTATCCAAATGAATAATAATCAATACATCCAAATTGTAGTTCACTTATAATCCCATGTCTTTTGAATAACTTAACAACATGCCGATTAATTTCAGTCAGTATAGCGAATGGAGTTCTGCTATTGATGTTGCCGAAATTTATATGACTCATCTTATAATTCAGCAGTGTTACCACCTCAAATCATTGAATGTTTGAGATGATCATGTTATACACGAATTTGTGGGAAGAAAAGATTGAGAGTAAAGGACATGTTGTTGGGTTGTTAAAATACATTGGAATGAATGTGTTGATATCCTAGTCCAATCATAATGTTATATGCTGAATGATTTAGCAACGTTTGAGACTGAAAAGACACAGAATTTTCAATGATCTTGTATTTGGATACATTTATCCTAATGCATCTTAATAGCCTAGCCACATGATGTTTGTGTTCAGTCACGTTTGATAATATAAAATAGTTTGCTAAGTCATTCAATACATAACATTACTTAATTACGATTGGTAGTCCTAAGAATGCAACTTTAAAGTAGACCTAGGTTAATCGTCTGTTGGGAAAAGTGGGTAAGCATGCAGTTGACAATGCAAGCGATATGTATTATTCGTGTCACACTAATATGCCATAGCTTCATGATCCCTAGCATATCCTGAATAAACATGACTGTTAAGATCTATCACTACTTTCGTACGACCAGATAGACAGCTCACTGGAGTGTAATTTTAATTAGTTTTGTATAATGAGGAGTTTAATTTTACGCATTATAAACTATGTTGACCATTTTTCCACATGCGTTCTTTTATTCTCAGTGACTAGTTTAGGCTACTACACGTAAAGTATACCAATAATTATATGTTTTACACACGCGTTCTTTTATTCTCAGTGACTAGTTTAGGCTACTACACGTAAAGTATACCAATACTTATATGTTTTACACACTCGTCAAACTATACGACTTAATGACGGTCAACGTAGTAATCAACAGAAACTCTTGCAAGCATACAGACTCGACCAATTAAATTTCAGAACTAACCATGAGCATTTTTAGGAATTATTGATTTAAAACATTTTGTTTGACAACGAAACAATTTTGAGATTGTTCCACCAAGATATCTCCAAGCTTAATCTGTAAAAGACAACAGAAAAAAGCTTCATTTAATCTAGATGTGTCCTGTCGGCTGATCGAACCGAAGTGCTCGATCTCAGGTTGACCTATCGGCTCCTTGTGCAGATGCTCCGACGATGTCTGGTCATGTGATTTGAAATCAGTTGCTTGATGGTGACTAGCAGCGGAATCCAAGTGGTCTAGTGGATAACGCTTTGGCTTTTGAAACTAGGGGGTAGTGGCTTCGAGCCTCGGGACGCCATCACCCACTGGGGAATGCAGGCACACCCAGTGACGGGTCCCAAATAGGACGAAATGCGTATCCTGGATTCCATTGTTAGTCACCATCCACCAACTAACTTCAAGAAAAAAACACTGTTTATGAATATTTTAGTAGAAATAATGTAAATATTTCAGTAGGCTTTCAAGTCTGTAATTATGCAAATACATGCATTTGCATGCTGGCATATTGCTGAAATATCACGTTTAACTGTATCATTCAGATTTCGTGTTACTTAACGAGTTTGTATAATTTGAAATACTTGTTTGAACTGGAAGAATTAAAATTCCATCTGATCACTAATAGGTCACTAAAATTTATAGCAAAATGCTAAACAACAATTATACGTAGCGTATCAAACTATACAACTCAGGCGGTAATTTTCCAAACGGATTAAAACATGGAAAATGTCAAAAAGAACTGTTGAGTTCAACGTTAAATTAGTGAAGAGAAACGTATAACCAGTAGATAGGATAACACATTCATGACCTTGAAGCTTGCAATGGAAAAATCAAGTAATTTGACTTGTAAATCGAAAAATTCTGGTTGCATGACGTCTCTCCAGTGTTGATTTAAAGGCATTAGGAGTAATTAAAAGGGAGACATGAATTTCTTTTGATGTAGTTTCCTCTGAGGTATCTTGGTCAGTCATGATTTTTATTAGCCCTGTCGTCTTTTCTACAGAATAATTAACCTCCTGCTTCAAAAGTCATCTACAGTTCATTTGAGCGAACATTTAGCCACGCGGTATGGTTTTCAACACAATACGCCAGTAGATTCTTCTAAGTTACGTGGTTGGACACCATTAACTATTGCTGCATACTATGGTCAAACTTAATGTGCACAGGTTATTTCAGAGAATTATGCAAATGTAAATATTAAAGGCAAATCGAACGTAAGCTGATTTTGCCATCTTGAAATCATTCATGAAAGTATTTTACTAGTAAGTCAGTGCTGAAGAGCAGTCAGAAAATTTGTCTCTGTGATTGGTGAATCTAAGCAGTGGAAAGTGGTTTATGATAAGTACTCACCTACTATAAATAAAGTAAATTTGTATTTTTTACCTTCTTCTTCTTACAACTTAGCCCCCTCCTCGTATCATGTAAGAAAGAATTTGTAGATATGGTTAATTTGTTACTGAGATGGGCTGCAGATCCTACTTTGTGTATTTCTTTAGAGAATGAAGAATTATCAGGTTTTAATGCTTCGGATGTAGCTGTTGATTATGGTCGTTTGTGAGTATACATTGTTCATGATATTTGTTTTTTGTTCCTTGTGTTCCAAGTGGAATAAGAGACTTTGACCTTTGAAGTTCCAGCGGTGGTGGTGTTGGTAGCCACACGTTTAATCTTCCTTCATCTCTAGGCTTTCTACCGGCTAATGAACTCGTCAAAGTTTAGGTGAGCATCGTGTGGGAATCGAACCTAGAGCAAGTGCTCTGTTAGCCCACGTTATACTAGTGAACCACGGACACGCTCATGAAAATTTATCAGCGATCAAATACATGTCTGATTAATTAGATATTCACATGGCGTCCCATTAGAAGGCGTTGTTGCATATTAGGTAGATGCTAATTAATACTGACTTACGATTCCATAAATTGCATTAATCGGGTAAATTACTGCTTTTTTCGTTGCATTTATATTCATAATTTGGCTTCTGATTTCTACTTAATATTTCCAAGTTCAGAATGAATTAATTTTAACAAAAATAAAAGTAGCATTATAAGTATTTTAAAGCATAAATTACTTTCCCACTATTTGGTTTTGGTGATATCGCAGTTACCTCAAAGTTATCAATAGTTTACTTATCAAATGAGTTTTTTTACATAATGACAGCTGAGAAAACAGAGCTACTTTCCAATCAGTTTCAAGATAATGGATTTAACCTGCTTTTACATTAAATTGGTGTTGCAGTGTGCCACCAGCGATTCATACCATAACATTTTGGGATAATAATAATAATAATATTAGCTGTATTCCATACAGTACGTTTGGGCACAAATATGGGATTTTCAGCATGTAGTACAGTTATTTATCTTAACATGCACTCATATAACTATTTTACGCAGTCATTGATTTTAAAGGCATCATTCAATATGCGGATAATCTAATTCATTTATTCAATAAATTTCAAATGTTTTTCAGTGGAGTTGTAGAGGCACTTCTCAACAGTCCATTTTGGAATGATATCTTGCAGAAAGTCACGATTTCAAAGTATGGATATATGGAAACGCCTATTCGTAGAATGATTCGTCTAATGCCTGGTAATGCAATCATGTTTCATTTTACTTAACAAACTGAAATACATAGCTAGTAGTTTTCATGCATTTTGTAAGTAAAAAATACAACCCATGTATAACTGTTTAGTAGAGCTAGAGGTCACAAAGATTTGTAAGTTAGAAATCCTGGAATAATATCGTTTCTAATCCCAGGAACAAATATCGTGCTTATTAACTTGTTTTGACTTAAAGAGGACTCTCCATAATTATCTTACTGAAAAAAGCCTATTCTCTTTGTCCGAGTAGCAAAAAAGTTTCATAGTCAGGACAAGATTGTATTTGAGAAGAGAATTCATACCAAGACAGTATTCTAATATTTTGCATGAATGTAAGAGCAATCTTTATCTACTGGAGGACATTAGTTAACAAGTATCACAAGCATAACTTTGACATATTGTGGTGGTTTGATGAAGACAGTGTGTTCCAACGGAACATTATTCTCATATATTCCCACAGTTCAATACTGCATTAGCGACAAAATACTATATATGTATTTGAATTTTCTATTTCATGTCGTTTAACGTAAACAAAAATCACACGCTCAGTGATTTTCAAAGAATATGAACTGTATAGGTATAAATAGCTGTTTGATCGATTGAAAATATACCTTCGCTTCCGTGTTTTGTTTTCTGCGGTCACAATATGTACGTATATATACATACATATATTTCCAACAGGTTTGTGTCTTCAATTTCCCTGATCACTCATATATATATATATATATATATATATATATAAGTTTCTGGAATACATAAACATTGGTGATTATATTAAAAATAATAGTGATAATATTTCACCTAGATTGCAAAAATAGATTGGAGCATCTGTATGTGATAACCGAAAAAGAAGGGTTTAAAACGACTGAAAATTAAAATATTTCGCAAACACGTATGTGCTCAGAATTCTCATTTACTTAGAAATTACAGGATTAGGGATTTTAATTTGATGAGAATTTCTCCCAGGTGGAATCATACGGTACAAGAGAAGATTTCTAAGGTACACTTTTGTGGGTGATATCAATCAGAATAAATATTATTGCAGGAATATTACTCTGGAGCTTAAGTCAAACTAGATGCTGTTGTACGATGCATGTACTGATGCATTCTTCTCAGGTAACCTATACTCATTGATTTCAAACTCAAATAACTACTGAGTACTCTTAATCATGTCACACAAATATTTTCCACGTATGCAACTATTTTTACTCTTTCAAACTTTATGCTGTATAAGAAAAATCACCATTTCCATTTAACTTGAATTACAGGTGCTGCAGCATTGGTATTCAATAAATGTGTGATAAGAAATGGCATTCCACAAACACACACAAAACATACAATAACATTCAACTATGAATTTCTTGAGGATGAAAATCAAAGCTGGGTTGTCAACACACTGAAGCTTATTGAGAATAACACATGCAAAGTTAGTCATATAACATATTATTAGTTATTGAGATGTGGTAAAACATACTCTTACATAAAAGTTCACTTTAAATTCGAAGAATTTATTTTTCCTTTCATCTTCTTTCTTTTTTGTGTGTGTGTGTGCCCCATAAATCCAGCTAGTCTGCATTCTGAGTTGTTGTAACTACCTTGGAAGTTGTCACAGACAATAAATTGAGCTGGAAATTTTAATATGGATTAAATAGTACTGCATTAATGTATATTGCACGATGTGAATCAGTTAATAATGAAATTCTTCAGTCTTGCTTTAAAAATATTAAGGTTTCTGTTCTAAGGAAGTAAATGTAATATTAGTGCAAATTAGTTAAGTGTTTTACACACTAAAGTGTAACTACCATGTGTTGTGTAACACCTTATGTCCCGGTATTTTATTATCATTACAAGGAGGATACTGTGACCTGAGTAATTTTCCTTTAGTGTCTGTTCAACTCATTTTATTTCCTCCCTTCCCATATACTATAAAGATGTCATTACATTATATTAGTTAGATAAACTGAAAAGACAGCATCCAGTTGGATATAGGTTACACAATCTGCATTTCACTATGAGTCCGCATATCAGCCCTAAATCATTCAATCCATTAAATCACACAGACATTTGCAGGTTGTCTTTAGACCAATCAGATACTGGTAGATTTTGTCCTTGGAAAATTGTATTACATAATGTAAGGTGTAAGAAGGGATGACTGATTGTAAGTTAGAAAGGAGACAGAAGTTGGCATGATGTAATAAGTGTGAGATAGTGCCAACTTCTGTCTCCTTTCTAACTTACAGTTAGTCATCCCTTCTTACACCTTACATTATGTAATACAATTTTCCAAGGACAAAATCTACCAGTATCTGATTGGTCTAAAGATTTCTTTGTTAATTATAATTACGAGTGTACAGCTCATGAAAATGAATCGTCGAAAAGAAAATTTTCTTCGCTGTTTGTGCCTTTTTCTTATGACTCAATATGGGAATATTACTTTCATTTGCAGGTTGATACTCACTTTTCAAGATCACACTCCAAATAAGGAGATAATGATTGGTAGGTAGGTATTATGTCTACAGTGGGAGGACTTAAGAATACCATGTCAGCATTGCACACAAAGTGACTTTGTATTGTCCTGTGTTACTGTCATCTGACAGTATAATGCAAAGGCACATGATATGCAATTTTTGTCTGACGCAATATACAATTTACTTGTATGGTGGGAAGTCCTCTCACTGATCTTGAATAGCTAACATTGAAATTTTTGTCATCTTTCTTTGTATGTTATTACAGAGACAGGAGGAAAATTCATTCACAAGACTGGTGCCAAGAAAAAAGAAAAAAGTCAACACAATGGGTCATCCATTGGACTTAATGGTGAGCACTACTACGGTGATCTAAACAATCTTTTCGTTCATCAACTGAGTTCATATTACCATTATCAGAACATATAAATGTAATTTCCCTAGTAGTAGCATGTTTCTAATTTCATTAAACTAATACTTTTGTTGTCACTTATGTCAATATTTTATCTGAATTGAAAAAATAAAATGTGCTTAACCTCATATTATCAATAAATATGATGTCTCAGTAAAGCGTCTAGGATGATTTATAAATATTCATATAGTCACATACTTCATTCATTCATAAAACATGAGTCATACTGTACATTTACTTTCTAACTCTGTATATAGTTACATTTCATGAATTAAAATGTTGATTATTCCCATACATGAGACAATGTCTAAGTGTAAGTGTATTAAAATGAACGTCTAAGTTTGCTTGAGGATTATAAAGGCTAAATGCATTTTGTGTGTTCGACTGTTTAATTAAGATAGGTACGAATTATATGCAGAGCTAATACTTTCATAGTTCACATGGGATTTTGGCTGGGTGTAATTACATCTCTAACTTTTAGAGTGTTTGCAAAAATATTTACGCATTTATGCTATTAGTTAGTATCAAAACATTCTTTTTTTTTAACTAGTATATCTATCAACGCTAGAATTAAGTCCAGAAAACATGTGGTATCTTGGGTTTATAGCTGTAAATGGTAAGTACAAATCCGGTCAGTCCTTTTCCTCACTGACACGGAGTGTTTCAATCTGTAGCTTTTCTCATTACGAACTAAATGAGCACTAAATAAAGGTTTTTTGAAAAGAAAAACATTTTCTAATATAAGACATACAAAGTACACAATATTCAAATGCCTGTCTTGTCCATGTGACAGAAACATACCTTAACCTAAGTTGTTTAAAATAGAGGCTTTAGAAACTGCATATTTTTTTATTTCATAGCTTCTTTATGGTAGAGAAGATTTATTGCAACATGAGCTAATTAGTTTTGTGATTTCTTATAACTGTGTTAGATTTGTAGGGGACTTATGTTAGAGTTCACTAGTATTACGAAATATGAGAAATAAAATTCAAGTCAATGGAATGTTAAGTAACAGTATATTATCAAAAATGTAACGACACGTTATATCAACAAAAGGGTTACTTGGAAATAAAGTTTAAGTCCTCTGCTACAAATTATTTATATATCCCACGGAGACGTTAATTGTTTGGACGGAGTAGGTTGTAGCTGCTGTGTCCCGGTTGTATAACTGTCTTCGGTTGAACGTAGTGGATTTCTACAATAAATCCGAAAGATACAACACGGTGAGAGCTGAGCTAGTAAGCCGAAGAAACCAAGGAGAAGACGAAGTCTCCAACAGCAGAGTGTATTTTTTCAATCGTACACGGAATCCAAGGGTATTTCAACCAGAAGCGTTTTAAACAAAAATTATGTACAATATGTCTAATTTCTACAAATAACCAAAAATTGTACAATCACATTGTTACGCACTCCACAGATTATTGGGTATTTCATGTATAAATCTGGCGGCGTATATAATCTTTGGTTCTCTTTACTTTTTTTCATGCTTCAAACCGTCCCTCAATACATGCTGAGTTTTGTCAAGTAAGCAGTTTTGACTATTTGACAATGAAATACTGAAACAGCAGATTTGTTAATAGACAACAATACGATTTACAGGAATATCTGCCAAGTTCTCTGTTTCTCGTTATTACATAATCGAAATCGAATCAAACTCATATTTCTATCTGATACTAATTATTTGACTCCTGAGCTTTAGTTGTGCCTTAAGATATTTCTTAATATCTGAAAATAATGTTAAAGATTTTTTCCGAAATACTATGTCATTTTTCTGCATGTGGTGATATCGGTTAGAGGGCAGACTTCCTTGTGAATAAGTCCGAGAATATGTCAAAGTTCAGATCCCAGTTACAATTTATCTTTCACTCATGACAGTGTTTCACCATGTGTAAGAGATGTTATTACTGTAAAATTAAGGCATGAAATATGGTTTTCGCTCCTTGAAGTACACAGTTTTCACCTTTGCTGTCTGTAACACTACTCAGTGAAAACCGTTTTGTTAAGGGCATATAAATATTACCATGTGAATTTGCAGACAAACATCAACAGCACAAAACATTACGTTCTATAATTATTTGTGTTACTAAAAATTTAGGAAAACAGCTTCCAGCAATTAAACGAAGTTTAACTGTATGACATCAGCAGTCGTAAACAGATAGAGAATTTATGGTGTAAATGAATATGTGTTACTGTGATCTATCCTACCGCGCAGGTTTTAGTTTTCGATGTTTTCTCACTTCTATTATAGTGTGCAATTCTTGGTGTAAAAGGTCAATCAGTGCTGTAAAGATGAAAGTAAATTACGGCCTTATTTCATTTTTAAAAAGGAAATAACCGGATTAGTCTACTGTTGACTGAAAGAGACATTTTGAAGAGAACTGATTTGTTTTCTAACTTTACTTTCAAGTAATAAATTCTCAAATTGTTGGAGGATGCACCTAAGTGATGAAAAAGGAAACGATGCACTTCACTATGACGTTATTACATAAAAAAATGGATAGATGTGTTTAGAATATTGACAATCTAAGCGGTAGGTCTTTGAAAATGTTTTCTAACTGCATCTGCCTGATTGCCTATTCACTGGAAACGTAATTTCTTTATTGGGATATAGCACTTTGTGTTGCTCAAAAATGACAGCATTTAAAAAAATCTCTTGGTCAGCTACTAGATACATTCAGTGTCTCCAGGACTTTATTTGTAATCATTCTTTAATTATGCTTTAGCACGTCATAAAGTAAAGATTATATGTAACATAATAAAACTATGTATATTAGTTGTGCAGTGACTGTCTAACAGCAAGAACGTGAAGAATTTCTTCTTGAGAAATTAATAAGACTTAAGTTATAATCTAGAGAATGAAGCAGTTTCCATGGTTTTGTTTTTTTGTACAGTTATTTCCCTGGGCCACTGGGTCGGGTCCCAGTGACTGAATGGTCTACGAACTTACCTTATAACTGGGTTCGAAACCCGGTGGGTGTGCACTGATGATAAGTCCCAAAAAATGAGTACGAAACAGCCATCCAGTTATCTCTGGCTTTCAATGGTTCTCTAACTGATATCAGTCAGTGGTCAAAATTGAAATACATTTATTTCTGTTGACGAATTTGAACATAGCTCAATTTGTTCTTCTTGCTCTAGTCAAGGTTTAATTTTGCTTAAATTCTCTTTCAGAATAACCAATATATATTTGAATGAAAGTGAAACCTGCCTGCTTTTAGAGGAGCAGGAGAAGAAAGTGTACGAGGAAATCATTATCATACCAAAGTATGGAACACAATTACTGGCAATTTTAAGTTTGCTTAAAGAGGTGAGCGGCATTTCTAGTTTTTTCTTACATTTTGATCGCTACTTGCTACTACAACTTGTTCATCGTTAAATAGAGTTGTTCGCTAAATGATGAAGATATAACATGAGAATAAAAATGTTGAATTACAAGAGAGGTGTTTCAGTTATCTTTTATGAAAGTCAAGATTTTGTGAAACACTTCTCACTCTTCAGAAAATCAAAATCAACTGACTAATTCATACTTTTTTGTATACATTTATGTACCGTGTATATGTTACTTTGAGAATGCTTAATCGTATTCAAGCGTTGGTTTGTAGGGATTTGATTGGTTACAGGATTTTCATCATGAGCTGACATTAGTTAGAGAACCATTGGAAAACCTGGGAGTACTAGACAGCTGTTTCGTCCTAGTTTGGGACTCTTCAGGATCGGGTCCCAGTGGCTTAATGGTATATGAGCTCGCCTTGTAAGCAGAAGATCCTGGGTTCGAATCCCGGTGGGTGCGTACTGATGAAGAGACCCAAACTAGGACAAAACAGCTGTCCAGTACTCCCAGGTTTTCCAATGGTTCTCTAACTAATGTCAGCTCATGATGAAAATCCTGTAGCTTAATCGTATATTCGAAAAGTATTTAACATCAAAATTCTACGCACTTTCATAGTTTCTGTTTTCAGCTTATAAGTACACTCAGCCTTATAAAACAAGTCAGCACTAGTTACATAAACTTAAGTACGAACCAGTTGTAAGTCAATGATTTCTGATACGTAAAAAATATGTACGTATGTGATATGCATTTTTAAAGGCAAACAGAGATAGTTTATATTTAATTTGTGAAGGATTATTAATTCACTGAGAAAGGGGAACTCTGAAAATAAACCTGTTGATTCATTATCAAGTGTTACAGTGTGGTGATGTGATACAAACAATGTGTTCTAACGGAATACCATTCTCACAGCAAGAATCACTGTATGTGTTAGCGCTAACGTCAGAATACTATTCCCACAGTTCAATACTACGTTAGCTACAGAATATATTTGAATATTCTATTCCATGTCGTTTAACGTAAACAAAAATCACACGCTCAGCGATTGGTTAAAGAATATGAGGCGCATAGGTATAAATAACTGTTTGATCGATTGAAAATATATCTTGGCTTCCGTGTTTTGCCTTCTGCCGTTACAACGGTAGTTTATTCCCTACAAACGGCATGTAATGAAGTTCTATTTTAATACGTCAGTCATTCATTGTATCAAAGATACCTTTGGGTAGTGAAGTAAAAAGTTCGCAGTGCTGAAAAAGAAAACTCAGGAAACATCAGAGTTAAACTATATTATCTCAGATTTTATACACGGTTATATTCATTCATCTTATTTCTTAATGTAATTTTGTGAACTGACTTCAAGTTATCCATCTAAAAATGTTCCTTTTTCTAATTATACTACTTTCTAGTTGTAGCAAATTTGTAACGATTATTTTGACATAAATAATATCTTGGATCTGCATATTTTTATTTTAGCTATAGCAACAGTTATAGATACACACAAATGTTCAAGAATCACTGGATATCGATTTGTAAGTTGGAATTCTCCTACTTTTCATTTCTTCGTTTACAGAAATAAAGTTAAACTTAACTGTTAAGCTGTATCATAGACGTTGATTTTATGAAAATCTCATTAAAT